TGGTACCACGAGCACATTTCCCCGCTAACCTTTCCCTGCCAGGGCCATGGGTGGTTCCGGTACCGGAGCACCACGAGCACATTTCCCCACTAACCTTTCCCTGCCAGGGCCGGGGATGGTTCCGGTACCACGAGCAGATTTCCCCGCTAACCTTTCCCTGCCAGGGCCGGGGGCTCCGGGGCTGCTCTCGCGGGCGCCGCAGAGGCCTCCCCGTCACTTCCACTCAGCGTCCCCCAACTCACGAGCCCCGCGCCTCCCTCTTCTTGACTGACATAAAAATATGTAGCGACAAGCTGTCTGCCACAGCCGAAATCTGATCAGACATTGATTCCAGCAATTGCCTCGATTGGCCGAGACATAAGGCAAATTTGTTCCTGAGCGCTGCTCGTGCTGAGGCAGGTCTGAGGCGGGAGGGCTGCCGGCGGGGGCATGGAACAGGGCTGGAATGGGGCTGCCTCTGGAGATAATTGGAAAACCGATCCAAAGAGCCCCTTTCCGCCCCGCAGACCCTCGCTGGGGAGCTGGGGGAGTGTGCAGGGAGCCGGGTGGGGCAGCTCTGCGGAGGGTCCGGCGGGGAAAGGCCACTCCAAACTTTGGGAAGCAAGGGGAGATGCAGGGGTTAAACGTGGATCGCCCCAGGCTTGTCTTCTCAGGGGAAAAAGCTGAAGTGCTGGTGAAGGGATGTTCCTCATTAGAGCACGGATGGTCTCTGCAGAAATTCCACAGTCCTGATTGCAGCCAACATCTGGCTGAACCCTCCTGCTTTCCCTGCTCATCCCACATCCCGCACCTCACGCCACCAGCACAGATCCTGCAGCCAGAGGGAGTGCAGGAAAATCCCCTTCCCGGAGCATCTCCCCGAGCCCCCGGGCTGGCCAGCCCCACACTGGCAGTGTACGGTGTAATTAATATGTGCAATGGTATCAATTGACTTGTTTTTGCCTTTGCAGGCTAATGGAGGCTGGCAGGACGCAACCACTCCATCTTCTGTGACTTCCCCTACAGAAGGGCCGGGAAGTGTGCACTCGGATACCTCTAACTAATCTCCTAGCAACACTTTTTCCCTGAGCTGAGATGCCTTGATTAGCGCATTCAGAGTCGCAGGAGAAAAAGGAAAGAGTTTTTTGTAGCCAACCACCTACAGCTTTACTGTAAAACCTTGTCTTATTAGAAAACTTGGTAAATCTGTTTTTTAAAGGTATCATAATCATTTGTATTTATACTTAAAACACACAATGTTAAAAAGCACTTTATCCAATTAGGCCAAGATTTAGCATTGTTTATAGCCCTGTAACTATTTTATCATAATTTATTATCAGCAGTTTTAACGATGTTGGTCTAACAGTTGCCAATTACTTGGCCTTAAGGGTAAAAGTACAGGACAAGCTTAACCTCAGTAGCAAGAGCAGACACAAAGAACCGCCTCACCCAAATTTAACTGTGTGCATATTTCCATGGGAAGTTGACAGGAATCGCAGACTTTGATTGTGTTTCATCTTTTCATATCTCTCACAGAGCTGGAATAAAAAGAGCTGTTCGGTTATTTCGGTCAACAATGGTCGTGTTTAAGAATCCTTATTCGTCACATTTTTGTTGTGATCTATTGTCTTACAAATTAGATTGGAAACCAGGATCATCTTTTCTTGCTAAAGCCCCCCCGGACCCCGAGCCTCCTTTCTGTACCCCGACACGGACGCAGGTTGTTCTTGGGAGGTGCCGACTCTTGCTGCTGGTCTCTGTGCACGCCACGACCCGGGGTTTTACAGTACGAGCTGGATGCTGCCACGCCTGCCAAGGGCTGGTGCCTCTGCTTGGCAGCAAAACACAAACAAAGGAAAAGGAAAGGAAAAAGCACCGTGATATGGAGTGTTGTACATAGTGTAGCAAAAGAGTATTTATACATCTCACCAATCAAACACAGCTTTATTACCTCATGCGAACTCATACAAACCAATAGACTTTCAACATGTTCTGTAGCTTAGAGTGCTCACTTACTACCTCTGAACGATACTCACGCTGTAGTTTGTCTCTTTCTTATCTTTTTGCATCTTGTAATTAACTCTTTGTTTCCCCACGAAATGTAATGTACATTGTAATCTCCTACGAATCAGGGTTGCCTTGGCAACTGCTAAAGAAGCGGAAGTGGAAACATGGGGTCTTAGGTTGGACACAAAACAGTGCAACTGTTGTAAATACTGAGAAGCATTTTGAATGTTCTTCATCTTGTTACTAATCCACGCAAAAACCAACGACTAATTGTAATGCATACAGACTTCAGTATTCGGTACTGTACATCCCCCTCGGTCGCAGGGGCCCTTTCTCTCTCTCTTTTGTATTGTATGCGATTCTGAAACTGATTGAGTCATGAAAATAATTTGTGGCAGTGATTCTAATGTATTAAACCGTTTCGTGTTACTTTCTAACTGGATTACACCCTGGATTGAAAAGTCTTCCTCGTGGTAGTTATATGTAGTTTCAAACATGAATAAACTTTTTGCTTTCATGATGGAACGTTGACGTTATTTCTTCCTGCTCAGTTCAAGCCTGAAGAGCTGTGTCAGCCTCCAGAAGAGCGAGCTGGGCATGGAGCAGGAGCTGAGCATCTCTTTAAACACCAGCAGGTCCTTGTGTCCTCTTACCTGGAGAGCACTGGAAATCCTGGGAGAGGCACGTCCTGGGCAGAGGCTTCCACCCACCAGCCCCTGCCTCCCCTGCCACCCTGCTCTGCTCGGGAGCCACAAATCAAGTGGAGGCAAAGGAAGGGGTCAGGCCTTTAGATGAGTTTAAAAACCATCATCATATTCACTCTTAATTACCATTTTTATTTAACATTAACTTTGGAGCTACAGCCTCAGCTAGCAAGTCTAATGTGATTATAAAAATATTTTTCTTTATTAAAAAAACTTTTTTGGAAGGACGTATATATATAAATGCTAATTTTAAGTCTTTTTAATAAAGTAAAGGTCAATAACAGGTAATAGCCTATTTACCATATCTCAAGGAAATTGACTCACAGGAAATCAAATTAACGTTAATCACTTGCAGCAAATGGTCTTTGATAAATATAACTACTCCCTACTTGGGTTAGTGCAGCTAGGCAGGAGGAGCTCACCACTGCCCGGCTGGAGCCACGGCTCAGCTGGCTCCGAGGAGCCACTGGCCCTCACCTTCCCTCCTCTTCAGCTCCTCAAGCCTTCAGGTGTTGTTTTGGTGGCCGAATGATTATTTGCATGATTCAATGAGCTTGTGGTTCCGCTTTTCTTATCAACAATTCTTGTATCAGGTTATTTGGTCAAATACCTTTATTCACTGACTCTCCAGCTGGGACTGTGGTGACTCTGCAGCCCAATGCTGCTCTTGTTCATGGAGCAGACTCGCCTCAGTCAGGTTTGGAATTGAACATTGCTTCTTCTGTTACAGGTGGTGCATTTAAATAAACAAGTAAATAACGATGTGCATTGCAAAGCCTTCGTCAGCAGTTAACGAGAGCTGGGGCACGTGGGGACTGTGAACTGCTGAAGACTTCTGCGTGCTGAGGACAAAGCACCCAACAATTTGCATTTGCTGATGGAGCTCCCGAAATCCACGTGCTCAGTGTTTGTGCTCCATCCCAATGGAAACGATATTTTGTGTTTTAAATGTAAAGTATGTCAGTGGAGGCATAGTAGGCAGCGTAATGAACACTCAGACGTCCCTCATCTTGATCACATCTCTGCTGGCCACAGGCAAGGACCTGTCACACACTGAGGAGGTTCATAGGAAGGCCATCAACAACCTTTGGGCCGCCCTTGCCTGCCCCGCGCCCGCTGGGCATCATTAGCTGCTGCTTTACAGCATTAAGGCTTTGGGTCCTTTTGAATTACAAGTGCAATTTGGCCTTTCCTTATGTTGGAGAACAGACACGTGGCTCCACGGCAAATAATAAACATCTTATCCTTGAGGCCTGATCACTCATCAGGAAGGTTTACTGCCAGCACCAGCACTAGGATCAAGCTGCTGATGGTATATTGTGTTTCACCTGGTAGCTACACCCTGAAGGGCCATGGGAGCCTTGTGCAGAACAGCGACTGATGCCAGGGGAGGAGACCCTCTGCTGCCCATCCTGTGACTGCTCAGCGGCACCATCCTTATCCCTGTCCCCAGGGCTGGGCTGTTGGCACACACGAGCCCTGCAACCGGAGCCACGGGGCCAGAAGAACAAAGCCCACCAGCCCTGTGGCCGTGGCTCCCACCAGCCTTGGGAGGTGCCAGCCCAGAGACCCCGTGTGGAGCACGGCAGGAGCACGTGGAGGATTTGCAGCAGGTGCCAGGAATCTCCATCTCCTGTGCCTGGCACTGACCTGAGTAAGGGACACTGAGACAAGCACGAGGGTGTCTGGAGGAGAGACCCGTGGTGCTCCCCTGGGTACCACTCGAGCGGCCACCTCTGGAACCAGCCCCAGCTCTGTCTGACCTGCCGTGCTTGGGGTGGAGAACAACCACTGCCCTGGGTGTCCTGAAGGAGGGCCCAGGACAATCCAGCATCCGGGGAGACACGAGGCCTGGCATTCTGGCAAAGGCACCAGGTTTGTGACCTGCCATGGGAGCAGCTCCACAGCCTCAGAGCCCCCCAAAGAACAGCAATCCTTCACGTGCCAGCAGAGCAGCAGGTGATGAGCTCCTCTCCCTGCACCCGACTCCCTGTGTATCCAGCCTTGGATGCCACAAGGGATCCTCAGCCCAGGAAGGGAAGAGTTGGGGAGATTGTGACCTTGGGGCATTGTGGGATCTGTACCCCTCGGGACTGGGGCATGGGGGCAGCTCTGCTGCCTTGGCACTGTGTGTGTGAGGCTGAGCCCTGCTGTGATCCCACAGTGATGTGACCACACACGAGCTGGATGTGCCATGCCAGGGCCAATATCTGTGCCATGTATTTCCAATGTGATAAAAGTAACTGCAAGTAACTGAAGATGTTTCCAGTTTGTGTTAATAAAATACATCTTTTTAAAGAATGGAATTCTTCAAAGATTGGCAAATTTTATTTTATTTCATTAGCTTTAATGTCACTGCCATATGGACTGTGAAGAAAAGTGAACCATTAGATCAGAGGGACTGAGTTATCAGCGTGACACAGAAAGCTCTGATACAATTGTTAAGGATAAGCCCTGGAGTGATTTATTGCCTGCATTGTATTAGCCACAGAGGAGTTATGATATGCTCCCCATTCCTGTATCATATTAGGATTTTATTAGTCTAATATGACACGGTAATATAATATATGATTAGAATTCCCATCCAGTGATCCTTCCCTTGGTGGCAGAGGCAGGAGAAGGTTTTGTGCTCAGCCATCATGCCCAGGGTGGTTACCTGGGATGGCACAGCAGCTGAACCAGTCTCTTGGCCTTCCCAGGTGGGATGTGGGGCCCCTCGTGTTCTCTGGGCACCCCGGGCTGCCCGTCTGCCACTGAATTTGTTTTCCCTGAAGTATAAAGCCTCTGGTTCCTTCCTGCAGCTGAGAGAGTGAAGGATGGAGCTGGCATTACGATCCCTGCTGCCAGCCGAGCCCCGGGTCTGGGCTGTGTCCCGGCAGTACCTGGGAAATCAGCTGTGACGTGCCAGAGCCAGGCACCAGCTGTGCCAGAGCTGTGCCCGGTGTCCTGCAGCACCAGCAGCGCCCATTCCCTGGGCTTGGCACAGTGGGAGGAATGATGTGCAGGGGGCTGGACGAAAGCTCTGTGTGCCCCAGCATGGAGGGGAGCCAGGGCTGAGCCTCTGGCTGCAGAGGCACTGACACCACACTGATTGCTGTGCCTCATGTTCCCCTTGCCCCCACATCTCTCCCTGCGTGACCCTACCCTCTAGAAACTCAACTTACCCAGCAAATCCTGAAGACAAACTTTTCTTCAAAGTTTCCCCGGTGTCCCCATCCGTGTGTCTCCGAGCCCCCCGTTCCGCCTGGGAGCCGCTCGGAAGCAGACGCCGTTTGTAGCCTCGTTCTTGCCTCCAGCAGCAGCAGCAGGAGGAAGAAGTTCAAGCATGTCAGAGCGCTACTAGGTGCTAAATCCCAAAATCTATATCAAAGCCTATTTGATCATCTTCCTGTCATTGATATAATAAAAAGGATTAATTTATTGGAGACTGCCAAAACCCTCATGTGGCAACAAATTTAAGGATGGTGTTTACACAGGCTAATTAAAGCCAATTACTTTCATTCCTTTCTGTGGTGCTAACGCGGGTGTGACGGGTGTGCTGGTACCCAGCCTACGTGAGCCCCTGTTCCTGGGGCGGGTGGGCACCTGGAGGCATCCCCAAGGAGCACAGCTCCAGGACAGTGACCCCCCAGAGGGGAAGGGGCCCTTCTCCTCCTCCTCCCCCTGCCCTGGCACCCTCAGCTCTCCAGGGATGCCACCTCTGGGAGGGACGTGGCACGTGGCCACCCCAGCCTGGACGAGGCTCCAGGAGAGCAGACGGGGCTGTTGCCCACGATGGGAGATCACCTACTAATGCTGCTATTCCCATAATAAAAGGCTGCATTTTTTGTGGTAAAATTCAGCATAAAAAGCACGCGTCATTAAATATGGAAATCCAGAATTTTATTAGCAATCTGCTAGATCTGAACTGACGCCAATTAAACAAAAAAGATATCATTTATAAAAAGGCAGAGTTCAAGTTGTATTAAATATGAAATACAATTTTCTGCTGGTTGTGATTTATTACCGTTGGTACATTGTTCAAAGAAGCATGTTATATTTCAATAGAGAAATATTGTTTATTCATTAATATTTTAAAACTTGCTTATTGCTGTGTATGACTCTCCTGCAGAACGAAACTTATGATTTAAAACATGAATTAATAAACACATTTGAAAGTGTTAGACAATATCATAACTGCTCATTTTTCATTTTATTGAGAGCGTATTAAACTTTTATAATTCTGTGTGTACTATTATTTTCCAAATAAAGGTATGGGCTCTAAATTGCTAATTTCAGGTGCAGATGAGAGAAAGCAATAACAGATGTTGGGAATCAGTCACTATGTCCTGCTAACACGGGCTCTGTATTTTCGTTCTTACATTATTCACAAATGTCCTTCTCGGTGCTGTGGCCCCTGAGAGGGTCCTGGGTGCTCTGAATGCCTCTCCCAGTGGGACATGAGGGTTCCAGGAGCCCCAGGCCAGGAGAGCACAGCGAGGGTTCTGGGTACGCTGGTGCTGTAGGGCTGCATCACACACTTAACACAAGGAAGCGTTTGATGGAGGCTGACATCCTAAATGAGGCCGAAAATATTTCATACAAAATGTGATAAAGCAGTAATGATCCCAGAGGCCTCGGGTTATCTTGGTGATTACCTGCACCCACCACTTGAATCAGCAGCATTAAGGGGTCCGGACCCGATACGAGGATCCCTCGGAACTCATTAGCCCTGAGCACTTTATATGGACTCACCTCTCAGCTGCTTGATTCAAACTAACCTTTTTTGTATCTTAAAATCTGTGCTGCCGCAGCCTCGCTGTATTACCATAACAATA